GAGCCTCCCAGAGAGGAAGGCGGCAACTGGAATGTCCCCTGGGGATATGGGCGCTAGCAGCAGCTATTTTGGGGAGCTTGTCCTACCACAAGGTCGTTGGTGCTGGAACGCACCACTTTGGAATCCTCCCTCCAGCCGGATAGCACCAGGGGCTTACAGCCCTGGACCCCCTGGGCCACACAGCTAGCCTTGCCAGGACCTGGCCCTGCTCACCAGTGGACCCCGTGGCCACCACATGGGTCAGTGCCTGGTAGCCAGCCAGGCCAGAGGCCAGCCCCACCTACCAGCACGCCTGCAGTAGTCAGCCAGCCACAACAGAAGGGCCCGCACAGCCCGCAGGGGGGGTATTCCTAGAGCATATAGCTCTGGTGGCAAGAGGGGAGCGTGCCGCCGGGCCCCATAGGACATCTCCTACATAAGGGCCACTTCTCTGAGACTGGGGAATGTAACTGACCTGCTAATACATAGAAATAAACACAGAGAAGACAGAGGGATATGTTCCAAATGAAAGATCACAACAAAACCTCAGAAAAACTAAACAAAGAAGAGATACACCATCTACCTGATTGAGTTCAAGGTAATGATCATAAAGATGCTTAATGAATTTGGGAGAAGAATGGATGAACACAGCAGAAAATATAAAGAAGAACCAAACAGAGCTGAAGAATAGAATCACTGAAATAAAAAATATGCTAGAAGGAATCCACAGTAGATTAGATGATACAGAGGAACAGATCAGTGAGCCGGAAGACACAGAGGGACCTGGCTGGAGACTGACACTGGTGATACGTAATGAACTGAGTGGTATGATTAATTCAAACCTTTCATCTGACACCCATCCATCTATCCATGTTGGACATGGATGGGAATGGTTTGTTCAAATGGGATGCTTAGTTCCTTGCCTCCTTCCCCACCGCCAGGTCCCAAAGAAAGAAGGGGGCCTTTCCTTTTAGTGGTTTGCTTGTCTCAGTGAAGCAAGAACTCAAGCTGTTTCTAAGTAGTGGAGCAGACAGAAGCCCCTGCAGTTCCCTACTCTGGTGTGGGGAAGTGTGGCATGTGTAGGAGTGGACAGCAATGGATGGCGGTCCTTAGGCCTTCCTTTCCCATCGGTAACTGTGGACTTGCATCTCTTGTCCCACCCAGGGTTTGCCAATCCTCATTAACTTTCACAACCTCAAAAACTGAAAAGCCTCAGAGAGCAGCTCAGCCTGGCCGTGGGAGAGCAGGGACAGGAGCAAAGGCAATAAAGAAGACTTCTCATTATCCATCTCTGGGTACCTCTGAAAATGACTGTCTTCGCTTAACCTCAAGGTCAAGAGAACCTACTTTATAGTGTTCACTGTCTCTGAAGACAAGCTTTAGCGAGCGCCTTGTTTGCTTCCTATAGTATTAAAATAGACAATGAAATCTGCTTCTCAGAAGATCATTTCACCAAGTCCCTGTTGCTCTGTGGGGAATATTTGTTTCCTCATTTATATTCATGTCTCTAAAAGACAAGTAGACCTTGGATGAAATTTCAGGCGACAGTAAATTATAAATAATGTATCCATATTTTTTCTCTTCCATACTACTTGTATTTAATTCCCCCCAGAGTCTTGTGCAAACACCAGAGACAAGAGGACAGGAAGCTATTAACATGATGGAAAGAAAGAAATGGGCTTCTGTTATATGGCAGGGATGCAAGGAGGGAAGACATCTTGATAAAGGAGGTTTGTTTTTATTTTTGAGGTTTTTGTAGGAGCCAGTTCTTTTCTTTTCTCTCTCTCTCTTTTATTTTTATTTTATTTTATTTTTAACATCTCAGCTTTTTTCCCAGACCATCAAATAGGCATCTGCTTGAAATGAGTCTTTCTGCTTGGACAAGATGAGGGGTTGTCAGTGGATGGAGGCCACTTTGGGGCCCAGCTTTAAGCTCTTTTGCTCCAACAGATATGGCATAAAAAATGCTTATAATGATCAGCTGAGATCAGCCCAGCCTAAGAATAGGATGCTGGTAAATGGAAAGTTCTGGCATTGTCAGTGAAGTTGGAAAGGATGCCAGTTACTGAAATGAAATGAAATGAATGAATGAAATTAGCCTCTAAGTCCATTAACCCTAGTTTGCCATCACATAGGATGCTCTGGTGTTCCTCAGACCTCTTGCTCAGCAGGAGTGATTCATGGGGTTCAGGCTCCAATCTTTTGAATGAGTGAAGAGACTCTTCTCTTTGTTTTTTGTTTCTTTTCCTTCTTATCTTTCTTTTTCTTTCCTTCTTCTTTTTTTTTTTTTAGGCAAATAACAGGAGCCCAAAGATGGAGTTTGCAGGGTGCACCATGTGGCTCTGGGTGTGTGAGGGGAGTAAATGCCGGTCCTGACGGAGGAATGGGGAGAGGAGGGGCTGTGATGTAATGAGAGTCAGGGGAGGCTCAGAGAATGGCAGAATCAGACTGGAGGCCCTGTTGCCCCAACGACTCTTCCCAGAGGAAGCCCACGCTCAGGGGACCTCTGGAGATACGCTGCAGCTGGGATTTAACCATTCCATTCAGCCGCCGTTTACCATGTCTGCTGTGTGCCAGGCTTTGTGCAAGGTAATTTCACATGCATTACTTCAGTCCACGAACTTTTCATTCTGCAACGGGTCACTTCAGCGGTTCTGATAAATCTCCAAGACAAAGCCAGCAGGGTTTGGTAGGAATCTGAGCATTCCAGTAAAACTCTGTAAAGCTTTTGGACATGGACCCATCTTTGCCATGGACCACTGTAGTTGTTGTGGCAAGTCTTTCTCTGGTTCCTCAAGTTGCATCGAGCAGGTGGGGCAGTAACTACACTGATTAAACGGTCAAGTGGGCTCCTGAGTTCTGCGTTCTCTTTTCTGAAGTGGTATTGGTCATGCTGCAGGTGCCCAGTGTCAATTGAAGCCTCATAAAAATAAACAAGTACCCAAATACATCCTGATGTCCCTCTGTACTATCCGCTGAACAAAGCCCCTACCCTGGGCTCCTCTCCAGATGGGCACGAATTGTCAACCCTCGGTTCATTGGGTCTTGCTGAGCCTCCAGCTGGATTTAGGATTCTAGACGCAAAACTGTTGCACACCTGCTGGGGGCAGCTTCATCTCAGCGGGGCCAGTGGTGGGCCCAGAAGCTGGCATGCTTTTACAGCCCAGGTGGATCTGGAGCAAGGCACAGCTGCCAGATGCTGTGGAAGCCTCAGGCGTGTCCTCATACTGCTCACAACCACTGGCTGTGGCACTGCCGGGATGGGAGCTGAAATCTCATACTGTACTGAGCAAGCATTGGAACCCATGCATTTGGGGAATAAAATGATTAGTTTAGATCCAATAAATATGCAGATTGGGAGCTCTGTTTATGTTTCTGTCATCTGTGTCCTTTTTAAGGGAAGGAAAATGTTAACTCAGTGAAAAGCTCCAATCCTTGGGTCTTGGGGTGGTAGCTTGGAAAAGGAAACACTAGAGGACCTTTTAATTAACCTGTGAGTATGTAGAGAAGGGCTTGAACAAGAAGAGAGTGACACCTTGGTTTTGAGATGACACCCTATGAAAGGTCATGGCGGGTGAGCGTAATTGACTTCAACCCTATAAAACTCATCAAGCATCCTCCGAATTCCACTTGGTAAGGACCCACCGTGGATTAACACCTTGGTTGTGTGACCAAGGTTAATTTTAATTTTAATTAAAAATTGTTTTTCTGATTAATGTGCTCATCGTAGATACTTTGCAAGATATAGAAAAGTGTAAAAAAAGAAGACCAGTTCATAATCTCACTGCCCTAAAGAACTACTGGTGACATTTTGGTGCATTTAATCCGGTGTCCTGTTTGTCATTTAGAACAAGTCTAATGGGGGAGGCACCTGGGTAGGAACGGGGGACTTTCTGCCACCTCTCTCTGGTGATGGGAGGATGGACGCTGGGGTGTGGACAGGAATGCAGTCATCCTGGTGCTCCGAGATGCAGGCAGATGTGCGTCTGGGGATAAGGAACACGCCTATACTTGCCCCACATTGTGCACGGTCACAGCCCCAGACTGTAGGGCAGAGGGAGAATTCAAAGTCTGAGCTGAGCTGTCCCACCTTACAGACTGTACAGAGGCACCATGCAAAGGGGCAGAAAGGACTGTTCACAGCTCAGACCCCAGGGCCAGAACAACGGGGGTCAGATCTTAGCTGACCTACTTACGAGCTATGGGATCTTGGATGAGTTACGGCAACTCTCTGTGGCCCCATTTCCTCACCTGTAAATAGGAATGCTAGAACAGCCCTCGTAGGCCGCCATGAGGCTTAAATAAGGAAGTGCGCGTAGTGCAGTGAGAACAGTGCCTGTCAAACAGTCCTGAAGGGCCAGACATTAGTTTATCTCTGTTATAGACGTTAGGACACCCTTATCCCGTAAGGGCCTTTCCAGCATCTACCACTGACGCTGAAATGAAGGAAGGCAGCAGGAGCACTAGATTTCAAAGTAGATTTTGGTTCAGGTTTTGACCCAGCCACTTACTACCATCTAATGATTTGATTTCCATGCACCTGAGTTTCACCTTCTGAGATGAAATGGGCACAGTGAGGCCCTTCTCATCAGTTGTTACAAGGATGGGTTGAGACCACAGGAACGCAGAAGTGCTCTGTGCGTGGAGAAGAGCCGTAGATTCAATATCGGGGCTTTACTTCTGCAGCTCTGACTAGGTGGATCTGATTACAGGCAGCAGAGGAAGGAGGGAGGGAAGGACAAACTGTGCTGGAAAAAATACTTGCAGAAAATCTGAACAGGAGCCTGCTGTCTTACTTGGCGCATTTAGTTGGTCCGGGCGGACCAGGAATTTGCGCGGCTGGTTCCTATGGTTGCCTTGGTACTGAGAGGCTTCCTGGCAGGGCGTTGGCAATGGGGGGAAGGCAGGAGTGGAGGAAATGTTATTTTCCTTTGCAAGAGAAGGCAATTGAGTTTCTCTGATGGGCTCCTTCCAAACGCCCTGCAGGGAAGAAGGCATCAAAGTGGCAGTAACTCTCTCACCTGTGATGAAGGTGGTGGAGGTGATGCTGCTCCGCTCGGTGTCCTGGGCCGCCTGCAGGAGCACTGTGTAGTCTGTGCTCTCGGACAGGCCCTCCAGTCGGATCCACGTGTCCTCCGCATCCACAATCAGCTCCTGCGGGAGAGAGATGGAAGGGAGTGACTAGCTCGCCGTGGAGGGGAGTGGGGAAGGGAAGTCCAGACCCCCACGATCAGTACTGCTGTGGCCATTTTCGTCCACTCCATCCCACACTATGTAAGGAGACAACCTTTCCAATAAGCAGGGGGAACAGATCCTATGTGAGGTTGAGGCCAGGAGGCACACTGGATTAAATTTAGGCTCTGGATTATCGAACCCAGTGGTTTTAGGATTGCAGGAGGCCTCCTGGAGGCCTGAGGAAACTAGGCCTGGATCCTAGGCCTCCCTCTTCTAAATCCAACAGACTAGCTCTACCAAAATCTGTTCTGTGTATGCGGCTTCAGAATGTACTTAAAAAAAAAAGAAAAAGGATTCCACTGCTAACAGAAGTTTGATAACTAGTGCTCTAGGTTGACTGAACAATTCTGATCACCTAAAACTGAAATTTGTCATCTCTTTATGGTGGGCTAGATGAGTGTAGCCTTTGTAATGCTTATTAAGAGGCATACAAGACTGTCACATTTGGTAATCCAGCTCATGTTTGCTTGGCCCTGTTATAAAAAAATCGTTCCAATACCATGTACATATATTGGCTTGGAAGTTTCCAATGTGCTTTGCCTCTTCATGTTGGAAGCACCAGCACCACCAGGTGAAGCTGCAGGGGTGGATGCCCCCTGTTACCTGGAGAAGCTACTGAGGCTCAGCGAGGTTTAGTGTTTTGCCTCAGCTTGTATGGAGAGTAGGAGTGGAGGCTGGACTCGCACCCAAATCCCTGGCTTGCAGACAAGGGCTCTGTCCTCCATAGCATTTTCTTGTATCCTCGATGGCAAACCTCACTTGTTTCCTGCGGACTGCTTGATAGAAATGGTCTTTCCCCTTTCCAGAAAGATCTCACCTTGCGGCTTCCATCAGTGGATTTGTAGGTCAAGACGTAGTTTTCAATCTCTGCCCTGGGAGGCTGCCAGGAGATCAGGGCACTTTGTCTGGTGACTTCACTGGCTGTCAGATTTGCAGGAGCGTCCAGGACTGCAAAGAGGAGAAAATGCTGGGAATGCTCACCTCTCCCTGTTTCATTCGAGGTACATCGACTAATTTGCCCACCTATGTGGTCTCTGGGCAGTTCACAGGCTGACCCCAGGTCTAGCTTGGACACAAGCATAAAAGGCACTCCTGAGCCAGAAGAGAATTGTTCAGGATCATGATCATTCTTACAGCCATTCCCCTCTTCCCTCACCTGGCCCCCTGGGCCTGCATGTGACATGGTCCAATCTGATCCTCTAGGTCTGAAATCCTGACCTTGGTAAACCTGCATGTCTGTGAGTCTTGAACTCATACCATTCCCCTAACTACATCTTTGTGTACTGTTCTCCCAGCCGTGACGGCAGCCAGTAGCTCTCTCCCTGATATCAAGCCCTTTATTATCCATCAGACTTTTCTGGGCCAGATGCACGCCCAGGACTGGCCTCTCTTGGCCTGATTCTATGGCCGTCAGCCTGACCCAGGAAGAGAGCGTCAACTCACTTTCATTGGCATTTGGGCCGCAGTTAACTAAAACGAGACTAGCTCATGGCTGCCCGGTCCAAAGCCTGTAGCATATAATGTAGTCCAGCATATGGAAACTGATCATTTTCGGTATCCACAAAAGCATCACAGGATACTGGGTATGTAGCTGGCCATGTACTCACGGGTAGAGAAGTTGGTGCTGATGGTGGCACTGGTGAGAGGCCCGCTGGTGGCATACATAGTGACAGTATAGTGGGTCCTGGGAAGCAGGTCAACCAGATGGAATTCCTCACTGTCTCCGTCAACCAGGATGGTCTCTCCAGCAACTGAAATCAGATGGATATGGCTAAGGACTGAATAAGGCTATTCCACTTAGGAAAGACTCATCAATTCCAAAGGCATTTCATAAATATTCAGTATTAGAGAATTTTGGAAAAAATCTTTTAGAGATTATTTAGCTTAGCATTTCATTCCATACAGAGATCCCCTCTCGTCTCGTTTTGCAACTTGAGAAAAATATTCCTTATTTGGAGGCCAAATTGTCTTATGCAAGACTTTTACTTAGATGTCTGGGGTTACAAAGAAGAAACCGAATCCTTTGTCTACATGACCCCTTCCTGCCCCTCATGCCTCCTAATCAAATCTTCTCTCCTCCAGGCTGAGAAAATTCAGCCCCCAGCCCCCATTACACGTCTATGATGATTCTAAAGCTGTCACAATGCTGACTGCCTCTCTCAAAACAATTAAGAGTTTATCAATGTCCCTGCTAAAATGCAAAACTCAGAAGAAAATAGAGAACAATAATTGAGGCTTACTGACAATGAAAGAAACAGGGTTGATCTCTGCTTCTATTTGTGCCAATTATGTATATTAATCCATTAGGTTTTGAGACAATCATGGGGTATTGTCACATGCTGAGATTATCACTAATCAGAGATCTTGTTTATAACCCCCCTACTCAACCTTACCTTGTATAGTTAATTTTAGTTGATTTTTTGCATCCATGGGAAGAGTTCCGCATTCATTTCTACTGCATTTTGCCATGTTGACTGAGTTTGGGGCCACTGTTTCAGTTTATTAAAATGTATCTGAGTTTGCATTCTATTGATCACAGTTTTGTTTTATACACAAATTTGGTATGCGTGTCTTCTCTGTATTCATTCAAGCTGTTGGTAAAACTGTTCATTAGATCAAGGCCAAGCCTCTTATTGTGCCTTGAGAATACTCCAGAGTCATTCAGCATTTAACAGAGTTCACTAGGCAATTCTCCAAACAATGGAGGGGGTGAGGTTTCAAGTTTTTTGTGATCTATAGGCATAGAGAGGCATGCAAGCAAGTTAAAACCTCAACCAGCTCACCTGTGCACACACCCAGAGTCCGCCACCCAAGCACTGGCTTACCCTAACAGGCTCTCGGTGGACATGCCAGTGCCCACGTGGGCACTGTGGGGCATGTGTACATGGCCATTGCAAACCAACCCTGGGCTCAGAAACTTATGTTTCACAGTCCAGGTTTCGTAGAATATGTGATGGACCGGTCCGTAGAGCATGACAAAGCTTCAAAGGATGCCAAATATGAACTGGTGAAAGCACTTGCCAATTCTAAGACAATTGCAGAAATCTTTG